GCTAATGGGCATGGTTTGTAGGCTTGGCTTGTAGGTATGGAGTGGAGTGATGGTTAATTTGCATATTACTCTTTTATTAGCTAGGATATATCACAATTATTTTCAAACTAGGTGCACAAAATTCATGCACAGTAGGGTCCCTAGGCCTGGTCGGTAATCAGAGCCAATCTGTGAGGCAACCAGCAGGGTGATTGGGGCCACTTGTCCCACATGCCTTGGTCTGGTGCTGCCCGCTTGCCAGCCTCAGCCCCCACCACAACCACAGTTGGGGCCTGTGGGCTGGGGGCATCTCCTGCATTGAACATGTGCTCCCTGGCAGTCAGTGCATGTCATAGCAACTGGTCATTCTGCCATTCGGTCTATTTGCATATTAGTGTTTTATATAGATTAATATGCTAAGGCAAGCCCCCAGTGTTGTTGTTTTAGTTTGTTTTGGGGGACAAAAGGGGCCACATGCTAATCTGACAAGCTCAGGGAAGGCTTGCATGACTATCTGGCAAAATCGAAGACCTAAAGTATCCACAAAGGACAGTTTAAAATTAAATTTTAACTAAAAGCAGTTATGGGCCAAAATCGATTTGGTTCAGTGGTAGAGCGTCGGTCTGTGGACTGAAAGGTCCCAGGTTCGATTCCGGTCAAGGGCATGTATCTTGGTTGCGGGCACATCCCCGGTAGGAGGTGTGCAAGAGGCAGCTGATCGATGTTTCTCTCTCATCGATGTTTCTAGCTCTCTATCTCTCTCTCCTTTCCTCTCTGTAAAAAAATCAATAAAAATATATTTTAAAAATAAAAATAAATAATAAAAAATAAAATAAAAGCAGTTATGGTAGATAGTCACCTCTTAGACCTGTATCTTCCCTGACAAGGTCAACCTTTACCTTAACTGACCTTATTGTCTTTTTGCATCACTGATAACATATCATTGAAATGTCAGGCTAACTTGTAATTTCCCTTTTTTTTCCCCCCAGACCCCTTAAGGCACTTCCAAATGTCCTGGGCCTATTGGGGTGGGGGTGTGTGATCAGGGGTGGGCCAGCTGAGGGAAGGGGCTGTGGGCCTATAGTGGTGGAGCGGACTGATCTGGGAGGGCTGGCCTGGGGGAAAGAAGGACATTTGGCCAGCGGGCCCCACTTTTTTTTGGCAATTTCACAACTTTTGTGGTGCCTGTGATATGAATCAAAATACCTTCTCCCCTGCCCAGGTCAGCATCAGGCAGGGGGCAGCAAAAAATGGAAGACATCCCTCCCTGCTGCACATCGACCCTGTACACCGGCCCACTCGGCCCAGGCCGGCGGGGTGTTCGGCACATTCTTGGATCTCTGCTCAGGGGTGGGAGGTGACCGGTGGCAGCACACGTGAGAGGGAACCTGCAGATGGCCACTCTGGTCCTGGCACTTCTTGGCTCTCGGTTCCTTCCTGGTCCTGCCTATAGCCCTAGTCCCCCTACCTGGCTCAGCCTCATGTCTCTATCCTGGCCTCAGATGGCCCCCTTGGCTCCTGGGGATTCTGTCCACCCTTACTATCCTGGAGGTCCCCAGGGGAGGTTATGGCTTCTCAAAGACTCCCTGGCAGCCCTGTCACTCATATTCACACAGAGGAAGGGGTGCGTGTGGCAGAAGCAGCTGTATAAATGAGGGTGCAGGGGCAACTCCTCCAGGGTCACTTGGACAGTTTGCTGATAACGAGGATCAGGGCCGTGTTCTCATCCTTGAGGCACTGGTTGTCAGCCTGGAGGTTGGATAGGCCCTTTAGCAACTCTACTAGCTCAGCAGCCTCGTGCTCCACAAATCTCACCAGCTCCAGGAGGGCCAACCTCTCTGCAAAGTGCTCCTGCCTCTGCGTGGCATACTCCAGCTCCACCTTGAGCTATGCCAGCTGCAGCCCAGTTTTAGTCAGGGCCTCATGAAGTTTCTCATTGTCAACACACAGCTCTGTGTCGAGTTTCCAGAGCCTCCCTCAGGCTCTTCCATCTGGTCTAGGGTTCTGTGTTGAGGGCCTGCTGTCTCCAGATGAAGAGCTGGATTCTGGGCTGATGACTGCTGGTTTCACCTCCTCACCCTCCACAGGCCCTCTCCTCTCCTTGCCATCTCTGTGGTGCTCCCTGGAGGCTCGTGGTCCCTGTCCCTGCCCCTCAGGTGCCTCTACTCTCTCATCAGAATTCTCAACCCCACGGACTTGGAGCTGCCAAGAAGGGTCCAGGCTCTGTGCAACCCCACTTTTTTTTTTTAAAATATATTTTTATTGATTTTTTACAGAGAAGAAGAGAGAGGGATAGAGAGGAACATCAATCAGCTGCCTGTTGCACACCCCCCCACTAGGGATGTGCCCCCAAGCAAGGTACATGCCCTTGACTGGAATCGAACCTGGGACCTTTCAGTCCACTGACATTCTATCCACTGAACCAAACCAGTTTCGGCGCAACCCCACTCTTGATAAGGATGGGAGAGTCCAATCAGGGGCAGGCCGGCAGGAGGGAGGAGCCACAAGGTTGGCTGCTGGCTCCAACCCCTGATCGAACGGGTTTGCTGGCTACAGTGGGCGTCATATCAACCGTTTGTTAGGTTGTTATGACTATTATGGTAGCTGGCTTTTTATATGTATAGATAGCACTGAAAGTCAAAATTTTTTTGTGAATTTCCTTTGGAACTCATTTTCTGAAACACAAATCATGTCTTGGTCCATTCCAGTGGTTATAAAAAAATCACGAGAGACTGGGTACCTTATAAACAACAAAAATGTACTGTTACAGTTCTGGAGGCTGGAAAGTCCAAAATAAGGGCAACAACATGGTCATATTTTGGTGAAGATCCTCCTCCTGGTCCAAACCTTATGCCTTCTTGCTGTGTCCTCACATGGTATGAGAGGCTAGAGGTATCTGTGAGGTCTCTTTTTTTTTTTTTTTTTTTTTTTTAATATATTTTTATTGATTTTGTAGAGAGAGAAAGGAAGAGAGAGAGCTAGAAACATCTATGAGTGAGAGTCATCGATCAGCTGCCTCTTGCACACCCCCTACCGGGGATATGCCCGCAAGCAAGGTACACGCCCTTGACCGGAATCGAACCCGGGACCTCTCAGTCCCCAAGCTGACGCTCTATCCATTGAGCCAAACCGGGTTCGGCTGTGAGGACTCTTTTATAAAGCCACTAGTCATAGTCATTAGAACTCTACCTTTGTGACCTAAGCTCTTCCCAAAGGCCTCTCTTAATAACACTGTCTCTGGGTCGTAGGATTTTACCATATGAATTGGGAGAGGGGACAAACATTAAAACATAGCACATTTTATTAAACTAGAGGCCCATTGCTCGAATTCGTGCACGAGTGGAGTCCCTTGGATTGGCCTGTGGGATCGGGCTGAAACTGACACTTCAATATTCCCCAAGGAATCCCAAATGGTGAGAGAGTACAGGCTAGTCTGAGGGACCCCAGCATTGTACAATCAGGGCCAGGGAGAGACATGGGAGGTTGGCCAGCTGGGAGAAACCACGAGAGGGCTCCAGGATATGTCTGGCCATCTCGCTCAGTCCCGATCAGTCGGACTCCAGCAGCAAGCTAACCTACTGGTTGGAGCATTTGCCCCCTGGTGATCAGCGCACATCTAGCGACTGGTCAGTCAATCAACTATCTGCCCCCTGGTGGTCAGTGCATGTCATAGCAAGCAGTTGAGCGGCCTTAACATATGATTAGCATATTACACTTTGATTGGTTGAACGGATGACCAGACACAACATATTAAGTTTATATTATATAGGATTTCTTAGCCAGTTTCTTCAAATATCCTTAATTTACATAGAGTAACCTCAATTTATATAGAGTAATTTATATAGAGTAATTTTTTCATGGTTCATTACATATAGTCTGCACATCCAATACTATATTGTACAGAAGTGGTGACAGGAAGCACCTAATTTCCTCCTCTTTTATTTTTCTATTTCATTGGTTTTATCAGTAATGAATGTTATCTTTTATCAAATGTATGTTGGTACATGGTAACTTTATTTGGGGCTAATAAATGACTTTTTAAACAGTTACCATTCAATTTACTATAACCTTGAGAACCATAACTATAAGAAAGAAAATAACTAAGAAGGTAAGAGTTAGAGATTAGGGTTTCTTTTTCTTCAATTTCATATAATTAAAAGTAACTAAATAAACACATATTTCAGAGAAAGTAGACAAATTAAATTACTGAGATTGCCCACTTACAAAAACGAGTTATATAATTTAACAAACAGGAAAGAAAGACAGATGGTGTATTTATTGTTTGACTACATTGGTATGACTTATTTTAACAAAATTCTCATATTTAATAATCCAAAATAGTAACTCATTCACTGAATATCAAAATACATTAAAAATGGCCAACTTTGAAATACTTTTCAAGTCATTCATTCCCTTATTCACCATTATACATCAAATACTATGCTAGATGAAGAGAGATATATTGTTAAAAGGCTTTTTAGTTTTTCCTCAGAAAACTTACAAACTAGTGCAGGAATTGACAAATTTTTTCTGTAAAGGATCACATAACAATAACATAGGCTTTAGAGAACCATATAGTCTCTGTTGTTGTGAAGCAAAAATAGTTATAGATAAAGGTAACAAATAAGCATCAGTGTGTTTAAATAAAATTTTATTTGCAAAACAGGTGGTAGGTCAGATTTGGCCCATGGGTTATAGTATGGCAACATCTGCTCTAGTGGAAATTAACTAGCAATTCCAATACTACATGGTAAATGCAGTGATAATGGGCAAAGGTTGTTATGGAACATGATCTAAGAGAATCAACATAGGCTTCTGGGAGGGGGCAACAATTTTAACTGATGCCTCTATTGTCTCAAATTCAGGAAACAAAAGTAGTTTTTATAATTTTTTTAAAACAATTTAAAATCTCATTCTAAAAATGCAAACCATATTTGAGTAAGTAAGAATTGCTTCATTATATAGTATTTTCTTCTAGCTGTTTAAGAAAAATTATACCATAAATATATCTGAAAGCTTACCTTGAGTGACTGTTTTGAGAACAATTAAAGTTGACAAAAATCTCAATGGCAAATTGGAACTCCTAAAGAAAGCAGCTGTCTTTGGTTTATTATCCACAGAATGTTCCAAAGAATTATCCTGAATTCCCTTATTTACTACTCCTTTAAATATGTCTTCACCCAATCTCCTCAATGTTGAAGTCATAGTTGAATGCTGTTAAAAAATATGTATTATCTTAGTATAGTTATTAATGTTCAAAAAATATAATTTTAAACATTATAAACATACTAGAGGCCCAGTGCATAAAATTTGTGCACTGGGTGGGGGAGAGGCCCCTTAGCCCAGCCTGCACACTCTTGCAGTCCGGAGCCCTCCCAGGATGTCTGACTGACAGCTTAAGCCAGCTCCCTGCAGGAAGAGAAACTAAGCTGCAGTCTGGTCTCCCTCTGCGAGAAGCAACAGGCAGGCCGATTAGAAGATGGCGCAGGCCAGCGATTGACCCCCCCTTCCCCCCATCAACCTTCAATGGCCACCACTGGTCTCCTTCTGCAGGAGGCGACTGGTGGGCTGATCAGGGGATGGTGCCAGCCGGTGAGCGTCCAGCCCTGCCCCCAACCACCCCTGCCAGTGGCCTCCCTCTGTGGGAGGCGACCAAGTGGGCCAATCAGGGGACAGCACTGGCCAGTGAGAGGCCAACCTCTCTGCCCTCCCTCCAATGCCACCTGCTCACTGGCCCCACCTCCCACTAAAGAGTCAACCTGCCATCAGGTGAATTTGCATATTATGCTTTTATTATATAAGATGAACTAAAGATAAGTCAATTTTTTGTTTTTGTTTTTTCTTTATTAAGGTATTACATATGTGTTCTTATCCTCCCATCGATGATCCCCCTATCCCCTACTCGTACCCTCATACCCCTGGTTTCTGTGTCCACTAGTTATGCTTACATGCATGCATACCAGTCCTTTGGTTGATCTTTCCTGCTTCCGCCCACCCTCTCCTACCTTCTGAGGTTTGACGGTATGATCGATGCTTCTCTGTCTATTGATCTATTTTTGTTCATCAGTTTATGTTGTTCATTATAATCCACAAATGAGTGCAATCATGTGATATTTATTTTCCCCTGACAGACTTATTTTGCTTAGCATAATGCTCTCCAGGTCCATCCATGCTGTTGCAAATGGCAAGAACTTCTTTTTTACAGCAGTGTAGTATTCCATTGTATAGATGTACCACAGTTTTGTAATCCACTCATTTACTGATGGGCATTTAGGCTGTTTCCAAATCTTAGCTACTGTAAATTGTTCTTCTATGAACACAGGGGTGCACATGTTCTTTCTGATTGGTGTTATATGTTTCTCAGGATATATTCCTAGAAGTGGAATGGGTCAAATGGGAGTGTACTGGGTCAAACGGGAGTTCCATTTTTAGTGTGTTTTTTTTTTTTAAAGGAAACTCCATACTGTTCTCCACAGTGGCTACACCAGTCTGCATTCCCACCAGTCTCCACCAGTGGCTACACCAGCAGTGCACGAGGGTGGGAATGCATCCTCACCAGCACTTGCCATTTGTTGATTTGTTGATAGCCATTCTGACAGGTGGGAGGTGGTACATCATTGTTGTTTTGATTTTCATCTCTCGGCTGACTAGTGACTTTGAGCATGTTTTCATATGTCTCTTGACCTTCTATATGTCCTCTTTAAAAAGTATCTATTTAAGTCCATTGCCAATTTTTTAATTAGATTTTTTACCTTTTGTTAAGTTGTATGAGTTCCCTGCAAATGTTGGACTCTAAACCCTTATTGTGATAATGTTGGCTATCTTATCCTTGCAGTGGGCTATCTTATTGTTTTGTTGATGGTTTCTTTTGCTGTATAGTTTTTTATTTTGATGTAGTCCCATTTGTTTATTTTCTCTTTAGTTTCCATTGCCCTAAGAGCTGTATTGGTGAAGATACTACTATGACATATGTCTGAGATTTTGCTACCTATGCATTCCTATAATATTTTTATGGTTTGCAGTCTTATGGTTACCTTCTTCATCCATTTTGAGTTTATTTTTGTGTATGGTATAAGTTGGTGGTCTAGTTTCTTTCATTTTTTTTTTTTCATATATTTGTCCAACTTTCCCAACACCATTTATTGAAGAGACTGTCTTAACTCCACCGTATGCTGTTGCCTCCTTTGTCAAATATTGAGCAGAATGGTTTGGGTCAATTTCTGAGTTATCTATGCTATTCCATAGGTCTACATGTCTGTTCTTGTGCCAGTACCAGGCAATTTTGAGAACAGTGGCTTTGTAATACAGCTTGATATCTGGTATTGAGATCCCTCCTACTTTATTCTTCTTTCTTAGGATTGCTACTGCTATTCAGGGTCTTTTTTTTATTCCAAATGAATTTTTGGAGTTCATTCTAAGTCTGTGAAATATGTCCTTGGCATTTTAATGGGGAGTGCATTGAATTTATAGACTTCTTTGGGTAATATGGACATTTTAATTATGATGATTCTACCATTCCACGAACATGGTACATTCTTTCATCTGTTTATGTCTTCCTCTATCTCTATTTTCAGTGCCCTGTAGTTTTCTGAGTACAGGGCTCTTACCTCCCTAGGCATCTTAATTTCTTTTTGGCAATAATAAATGGGATGTTTCTTTAATCTCTTTTTCCATAAGTTCACTATTTGTGTGTAAAAATGCCTCAGATTTCTTGGCTTTAATTTTGTATCCTGCTACATTGTTGAATTCATTTATTAAGCCTAATAATTTTTTGATGGGAGTCTTTAGGGTTTTCTATGTACAATATCATCATCTGCATATAATGATAGTTTCACTTCTTTTCCAATTTGAATACCTTTTATTTCTTCTTCTTGTCTAATCATTATGGCTAGCACTCCCAGTATGATGTTGAACAGGAGTGATAAAAGTGAGCATCCCTGTCTTGTTACTAGTCTTAGCACACGGCGGCAGGATCATTAGAATTCTCACTTTATTACACAGTGTTTCACCAATATTAGCTTGTCAGAACATGTAATATATAACTTCAAAATGCAATGGATATTTAATTTTAAAGCGTGTCTATAACATTTATGCAAAACATTTTTTGTACTTATTCAATAGAAACTTATCTGGAAATTGAGTAAAGCTAGCAATAAAACTACTGGTCTGCAACGTGTTAAGTGAAATGGTTTTAGTTTTTGCCTACTGAGTATGATGTTGGCTGTAGGTTTATCATGTAAGTCTTTTATTACATTAAGGTATGACCCCACTATTCCAATTTTGCTCAGGGTTTTCATCAAGAAAGTGTGTTGGATTTTGTCAAATACTTTTTCTGCATCAAATGACTACATGACTTTTATTTTCTAATTTGTTTATGTGATGTTTATTGATTTGCAGATATTGTACATGCTTGGGATAAATCCTACTTGGTCATGGTATATAATCTTTCTGATGTAATGCTGGACCCAATTTGCTAAAAATTTTGTTGAGGATTTTAGTATCTATGTTCATGAGGAATATTGGCCTTTAATTCTCTCTCTTTTTTTTTTTTTGTGCTGTTTTTATTTGGTTTTGGTATTAGGATAATGTTGGCTTCATATAATGAGCTTGGAAGTGTTCCTCTTGACTTTTTTTGGAATTGTATGAAGGATATAGATTTTAGTTCTTCCGTGAATGTTTGGTAAAACTCCCCTGTGAAGCTGTCTGGCCCTGGGCTTTTGTTTGCTAGAAGCTTTTTGATGACTGCTTCAATTTTATCCATAGCAGAAATTTTCTCCATGGACCACTGATGGTCTGTGAGGTCCAAAAGGTTGGCCACACCTTCTCCATAGTTATCAGCCTATTGAGATTTTTAGATTCTTCCTGATTGAATTTTAGAAGGTTGTATATTTCTAGGGATATATTCATTTCCTTTAGGTAGCTTAGTTTGTTGGAATAGAGTTCATAGTATTTTTTTTACAATTCTTTATATTTCTGTGGGGCCTGTTGGTATTTCAACCTCTTTCATTTTTTATTTTGTTTATTTGGGTCCTCTCTCTTTGCTTCTTGATGACTTGGCTAGAGGTTCATATATCTTGTTTATCCTTTCAAAGAACCAGCTCCTGGTTTCACTGATCTTTTTAATTGTGTTTTGTGGTGTGTTATTTTTTTTTGTCTCTGTGTCATTTATTCCTATTCTGATCTTTATTATCTCTGATAAGTCAATGTTTTTCTAATTAAGAAAATAAAATGGAGTTGAAATATGCAAGTCTAAAAATTAATTAATCAACTTTTAAAAATTATTTATAACTAGATATTTTTCTAAAAGAAATTGGCAGTCTACTAGAATTAGAAAATTGGAAAGAGTAATTTTCTAAGTATAAATTTAGGAGAAGAACTGAGAGAAAATTCAGTTTCAATACACTGAAGAACACAGGATCATGAGGTATTTCTGGCATAGAGAAATCAAAGGAATAGGTCTTCTTTGCTTTACCATTGCTGATAAATGGCTTATCAGATATATCTGATAGTGTTAGCTTATAAACACCTCACTACCTTACACAGCTTACTATGACTATAAATGTCAATGATTTTGCTAACTTTTAATAATTGCAGAAGAAAAAATGCTGAATTAGAATCATAAATAATTCTCATGAAAAATAAACTAAAGCAAGAAAATGGGCAAAATTGAAACAATAGCATATAACTACCTCCAAAACAGACTCTTCCCTAGTCAGTATGGCTCACTGGTTGAGCATCAAACCATGAATCAGAAGGTCAGGGTTCAATTCTGGTAAGGGTACATGCTCCTGTTGTGTGCTCAATAGCAGGAAATGTGCAGGAGGAACACAATCACTCACCCCCCTTCCTTCCTCTCTGAATCAATATAAATACATATATATTGTTTAATGAATGGGTAGGAGCTCTGGGTTTTAGAGTTGCCAGACCCAGATTTGAGTCCCAGTCCTGCCATGAAATGTGGCAGATCTGCTCATTTAGGCGGAGTCTGGAGTCAGTAGACTGGAGCTGGTCAGAGAGAAAGCTACAGTTTCATTTTTTGTGTTTTCCTTTATTTATTTGTTTTAAACCTAGGACACAGTTTTATTTTGAAGCTTTGGTACAGGAAGGGAGTTGCAGACTCAAGGTACCTTCAGAGAGGCTGGGATGGGAAGCATTGTGGGAAAAGCAGCAGTCAGGAGTATTTGGTGGTAGTCCCGCAAACCCATAGGGAGATT